TATCGATACCGAAGTAGGTATCAGTACCATAAAAGAGAAGTATCGGTACTGTAGGAAAAGTATCGATAATATTCAGTCTGAAATGTTAAATTAGGTGTTTCATTTTATTTAAGTAAAGGCTAATTTATTAGATGATAATTGAGCTCCGATATTCATATTGATCATGTAATGTGTAGATTTGACCGAAAACAAATGTTGAACGAAATGAAGTATAAAGTTGGGGAGTTAAAGTGAAAAAGAGTTGCTTAGGGCTTAAGTGAGGCAAAGGTGAATGCATTTTATTTATGATTTCAAGGTACGAAATGAGGGAGACTTGCGATGAGTCAACCTCGGCTGATTTATAAAGAAATTGTTTCAAATTGTTTTATAATATATATTTTATCATGTTTTATTAAATGATTTCTTTGAATGATTTTGGGTATGAATTACCCAAACTATTTAATACGATAAGTTCTTTATATCTCATGTGAATATTGTGAGTATGAATTGTATGATATTGGTTTTGTGAAATATATTACGTATATTAATTATATGAATGATTTGTATGGAGAATAATAAATGATTTTGAATTAAGACAATGTATGAGTACATGAAATAAGTAAATATGTTCTATGTGAATATGATATATGTAAATGTGTTCTACGTGAATAAAAGACACTTGAATAATAAATGTGAAATAATTATATGGAAAAAGCCCAAAGTATATTTTATGAGAATTAGGGGTATAGTTGGCATGCCAAGAGTTGAGGGTTCTACGCGGTCCTTCGGGACAAATTCTACACGGCCTTTCGGGACAAAATTTACGTGGCACTTCGGTGCAAATTTTATGAAAAGTGGTGACTGCATTAGTGCACAACCTCAATGTACTCGCATACCTTGAGTTCTTAGTGGTATATGTTGGGCTAATTAAATAAATGGATATTACTTAAATAAATTGATATGGGTTGAAAGGAGTATATATATATATATATATATATATGTAGTTTTTGTTATTAAATGTAAGTTGATTATGAATTGAACCGTGATTAAAAGTCCATTCTATTTATATGAAACGTAAATAGATTTCATATTAAGTATTTTTCTATGAAATGTTTAAATAAATGTTTTTGGTTTAATATACTCATTATGCCTCATTAAGTCATAGACTTAGCGTAGGATTATTTTCACACGTAGGTTTAAAGAGTTTCGAGGAGTAAGTCGAATAAGCAAGGGTAGGGTAGCTTACTTGTGAAGATTTTCAGATCAGTGAAATTTGAATTGTATATGTGTTTGTTATTTGAAATGTTGTTGGCATGTACTAATAATGTTTTAAATTGTAGATGCTCTGATATGTTATTAAGTTTCGTTTTTCTTTTTCAAATAAAAATAAAAAGTCAAAAATTTAGTCAGATTTTCAAAGTTTTCAAAAGTTAAAAGTCAATGTGACATCTCATATTCATATTCGGGTCGAGTACAGGTCAAAAGTGTTACAACATATATCTACCATAAACTCTAGTAAAGGCACTCACAATAGTAAAGTTACCCTAAATGTTACTTCAAACTTTTTGAAGACTTTATTTAGGCATTTTTCTTTCCTTTGGTAGATCCTCATTTACTTTTTTCTCTTGAATTTTCTTTTATATGCATAAGACATCATACATACGTAATTAAATCAACATTCTAATACTTAACTTCAAAATAATAAAGAGAATTAAATATAAATGCTAACATGACATGAAATTCTTGCCTAAGATTAACTTATGAATGAAATTTATAAAAAAAAACTTATTTTTCCCCAACTTAAACATTAAGATTTTTTATGGAAAAAAATTTATGTTTTTGTCACCCTTTAAATTTTATAAGTTTGTCTCCTCTAAAATTTTAGGATTTTGCTTTCCTAACAAAAATAATGTGTATGTTCTTAACTTTGTAGGTTGACTCTAACCATCCACCTATACATACCCTCTTCTTTTTTTTTTTCCCTGGGAGAGTCTAGAATACAATTGTTAAATCAGTTGTAACCGAAAATCTTATCAAGAGTGTAATATTTTATGTTGGACAAGGTAGCATTTTAGATTTAAACCGAAAATATTATAAATTATATAACGTTTTAGGTTGATGATATTTTAAGGTAAAAACATCCTTAAATTAACCTTTTGTTGCACAATAGAACTACCCTTTTTCTCCCTATATTAATTTTTTTAATAGTTTGAGATGATTACAAGGTAATATTTATTCGGAAGTTTCTTAACCAACTGACAAGGCAAACACCCTGCAGACACGTAGCTACTCGAACCTAAGACATTTAAGAAGAACACAATTCTCTTTTATCATTGAGACCACTTGATGAGTTATTCTCCCTATGTTAACTTGAAAACATTAAAATTTATCAAATATATTTAAAATTATAAACATAAAAACAATATATTATCTTTCGATGGGGTTCCTAGGAAGGTTGAAAATATCATGGAAACGGATTTTGGGGATAAATTTTGTTAGCATAAAATATGGGGTCCATGTTTGGATTTCCCTTTCGAGAATGAAGCCGTCATTGCCACATCTTTGTCAAGGCATCCTATATGCACGTGCTTTGGGATTCATGTCATCCATTAATTTTTTTCCACCTCCTGCAAATCAAATGAAACCTTGGATTGAATGATTTCATTTCCTTTAGTCTGCAATTTAACATTATCCCATAATTATATGAACCAATCCAATCAAGTATATGAACCGCACGACTTGTTAAGCAAACTGCCAACTGCGAACGTAAATGCCATTGTCGATTCATGCAAAGCCCCGCACAAAAACTATGACCTTGTCTTCCCATACGCAACATTCAAGATGCAGAGCACTAAACTCTCTGTTTCTCCTTTAACTCCATTGTTTAGACCTTTAAATAAGAATCCAAACCCCAGATGTAGTCCGGTATCCAACTCGTCTTCTTTAAAGCCATTCAGTTCCATCAATGTACTTTCATTTCAAAAAGCTTCTTTGCTTTCTTCTTGTTCCTCCTTCAATGCTCCTCGGGTGTCCGAGTCATTGTTTATTCCGAAAGGAAGATGTGATGGTCTTAGTGTCAGAGCTCAAGAGGTTCCTGAAAACATAGGCGAGACAAAGGGCTCTAGCTCGTAGCCATGTTTGCAATTTGGTATCTTTTGAATATCTACTTCAACATTTTCAACAAGCAGTTCTAAATCCATTTTCCTTTTGTCTGTTTTCTTGGAAACCAAGCAATCACTGGGATTGCAATGGAACCCTTTTTCATTGTCTTGTTCTCTGTTCTGATTCTAGGATAGGTACCACTTTATGTACTGTCTGATTTGATTAGTTGAAACCAAGAGGGTTTCTTATTTTACCTCGCAATTCTTTTCCTGCTTGTATATTTGCAGTGGCCTACTTTTTGGATAGTATCCTCCCTTGTACCAGTTGTTGGTGGAGTGGCATTCGCATCATTCTCTGAGGCATCATTTAATTGGTAACAAACACCCTTTTTCTTAGTACATCTATTTGACTCAAGTGTAGGTCAAATTGTTTCTTAAACGTGTTCTGCAACAGGATTGGTTTCTGCAGTGCAATGGCTTCCAATGTGACTAACCAATCGCGTAATGTGTTTAGCAAAAAGTTCATGGTTAGAAGTGAGGTACAAACCACGTATTATATCCAATACAATAGGCAATGTTTAGACGAGGAACTAATCTGTATGTATGTTTTATAAAGCAGGAGACACTGGACAATATCAATCTTTTCTCAATAATCACCATAATTTCGTTTATTCTATTGGTTCCTGCTGCCATTTTATTGGAAGGAGTGAAGTTCAGTCCATATCTACAATCTGCTGTAAGTATTTACATTTGTTGTGTTAAAGCGATTAGAGCTTGTTATGCCATTAACATTTTCACATACTTGGTGTAAAAGGCAAACCAAGGTTTGAATATCAGAAGCTATGCATAAGATCTCTTCTGGCTGGATTCTGTTTCCACAGCTATCAACAGGTAACCCTCTTCTTCTGTCATTCTACATGTGTCCGATGTTGTATATGAACATATATTTAATACAAATATTTTATTTTTTTGAAAAAAAAAAAAAGAATTGTGTCATTATCGTATGCAGTGTCTTTGAATGTGTATAATCTGAGTCTGGATTGTGTATGACAGGTCTCATACATGATATTGCAAATGGTGTCACCAGTGACACATTCAGTGGGGAATTGTGTGAAGAGAGTTGTGGTCATCATTTCATCAGTTATCTTCTTCCAGACACCTCTTTCACCCATCAACTCCCTCGGCAAATCATCTGCTTTAACGGTGCAGTAAAATTCAATTATATTTGTATTTTAGCTTTTAACTACTGGCATACATGCAGGCACTACACTGGCTCTTACTGGATTCTTCCTGTACTCCAGAGCGAAACAATTGAAACCATAGCCCAAGTACGCATAATAAATCATCTGTATCCATTTATGATTCTTTTTCCCTTTTTTAAAGGAAAAAAGCTTAATCTGAATGTAAACTTTGCTTCATTTCCGAGAAAAGAATCCGAAAATTGAGAGAAACCCAAGCTTGTTGATGGGTTCTTTTTTATTCTTTTAAGACAAGGCTGTGCTAATCTGTAACACTAGGGTTGGCACGAAAACTTTAATAAAATAATATATTTACCATTTTTTAAAACAATAATGGAAATTATCTTTATCAATTATTAGTTTCCCTTGATAATGCAAAGCCCTTGCTTAATATTTTTTATATACCAAATATTTAACATATACTCGAGATGTCAAATGTGGCAAGTATTTAACCCTAAAAGCACTTCATCTTTGTAACTCAACCTAAATGCTAACATATACATTTAATGACCCTCCAAATATTCATTCATTTCTCAATTCTTTTGCGGAAGAAACATAACATTAGATATTTAAGAAAATAACAATAAATTACTTATCAGTAGAAATTTTTAAAATAATCCACTCTGTAATAGACAGTAATCTGACCCTTAACATATCCATCGCACAACCAATACATCACAAAGATTCAAGGTTTTATCCTAATACGTAACAATCTTGGCCTACTTTTATTTTATTTTACCTCCATTCATCTGAAACCTGGCAAGTCTATCAAGAAAAATGTAACAAATATTCCCTTGTGATTCAACTTCTTAAACTATATAATATTAAAACTCGAACCAAACTCAGAAAGAAAAGTTTATCAGAAGGCATGAACCACCAAATTCCTAAATTCTGAGGTCAAAAAGATCAATGAGGTATCATACCTTCTTCCTCATTCCCTGAAACCTTTACCAGCATATTCCCCTCCTGCTGAGAGTCGCCAATCGATCTTCCACTACTACCAGCACCGCTATATGGTGATTTGGACCTCTCACGAGCGTTGACGTGCAGCAGCACTATCATACCTGTCAGCACTACGACTCCGGCTGCGTTCATGGAAACCACTTTTACTGCAATCACCCCAACCTGCAGGACTCCGACTGCGACTTCTTCCCTTATTGTAACTATCATGGAAACCACAATCATATCAGTTCAGACATAACAAAGGGACCAATAAACATGGGAGAATTTAAAGTTCCATACCAAAATTAGAATAAATTCTAAATTCACTAATCAAAGACGATGTGGGAAAATAAAGAAAAATCAAATACCACCACACCAACAGTTCAATAATTGTAACTAGTACAGAAGCAAGTATAGAACGTAGAATTAACAAAATTTTAAAATTAGAAGAATAAATAAAAAGATGAAGAGAACACAACATACCTATCACTGGACTCGTGCCTATATCCCTGTCCTCCAGTTCTCTCATTCCAGCTAGATGGTAATGAAGAAATTCCTCGACCACCTCTGCCACCATCCCTGCCGCCAAACCCAAACCCAGTACGACCACGGCCACCAGAATTGGGAGTCCAACGTCTAGGCATTCCCCTTCCACCACCACGTGAAGCCATATCACGAAGTTCTGCAGGCACCCTCTGGTTTGCACCTTCTAGAACTTTGATTAGCTCTGAAGTATGCTTCGAATCCTGATCACCAAAGAATGTATATGCTAATCCAGTAGCACCTGCCCTTCCAGTCCTCCCAATCCTATGAACATAATCCTCGACCCCAGTAGGAAAGTCATAGTTGATTACCACCCTGTGAAAGATATTAATAATTGCAAACATTATCATGATTTACTAACACGGAAAATGTAATAAAATCACGAACAAAGCGTTAAATATGAAGATTTTCCTGCATTAACATAAGTAGCTCCTCACAGCTATAGAAGTACAAAGTAATGGAACCATACATAAGAAATCCCAACCCCTACCTTATGTCTTTAACATCCAATCCACGAGCAGCAACATCAGTAGCAACAAGCACTGGGGACCTCCCAGTGCGAAACTGACTTAACACATAATCTCTGTCAGCCTGAGATTTGTCTCCATGGATAGCAGAAGCTCCAAATTGTCGAGCGAGGTTGCGAGCAAGTTGATCACACATCTTCTTAGTTGAACAAAAAACAATTATCTTGGATCCTGGTTCTTGTGAGCGCAGTATCTGCTCCAATCTTCTGTGCTTTTCCATTGGTGATAATACTTCAACAAACTGCAACATATCATGACAATGATAAATTTCTTAGCAACTATATATTAGAGAGAACCATTCATGGACATAAAAACTACCCGACAGATTCAAATAAGAATTGAATTATATCAGAAATAGCAATAATGGAGTTCAAACCTGGGTAATAGACTTGTTTGCCACAAGCTCATCAATATTGCCAATGTTGACCTGAACAGGATTTACCAGTAGATCAGCAGCAATTTTACGGACTTCCTTTGGCCATGTTGCCGTGTACATTAGTGTCTGCCTGCGAGTAGGAACTTCATTCACAATCTTCCGTATTTGAGGTTCAAAGCCCATGTCCAACATGCGATCAGCCTCATCTAACACGAGGTAAGAAACTTGGTGGAGGCTGATTCTCCTCATCTCCAGAATATCATTTAACCTGCCAGGAGTGGCAACCACAATATCTACTCCTCTCTCAATCTCTCTCAACTGAGGACCCTTTGGTGCTCCCCCATATAAACACTGCACATATACAAATATTGAATCACATCAGTGTAAACTCACAGTTCTGTCCACATTCACCTTTGAAAAGATCCTATATCAAAATATAATTGGGGGAGGATTATTTGAAAAAATTTAAGCATACTATTTATATAGGATCATTATAAAAGAACTAAAAAAAGAATTGAACAAATTGATGCCCTGACTTCTGATTCAAAGAGTGGTAACATACCGTGCACCTAATTCTTGACGACTTCCCAAACTTGTTAGCTTCCTCTTGTATTTGAGTAGCCAACTCCCTAGTTGGCGATAAAACTAACACAGTTGGACCCATTTGAGGATCATTACGGCAACGTTTGAGATGCATAAATCCAGGAAGTAGATAACCCAATGTTTTCCCAGAACCCGTTTTCGCAATGGCCACTATGTCTCTACCTTGCAATGCAATTGGCCATGACTGAGCCTGAATGGGAGTCGGAGCAGAAAACCCAGCATTGTGCACCTGTTAAAAGAAAAGAAAAAAACAAACACCAGCAACCTCCATGAGCAGAACTACCTTCAAGACTTTTGGTTTTCTTTTAGGAGTTATAGATGAATGGCCTAAGTCAGAAGAAGCGTCATCCCCCATATGCAAGCAATCAATGCTTCCTGATGGAAGCTGGAACTGGAGGAGGCCTCTTCTTCCATTCAGACACAGTAGCAGAATTAATCATCAGCTACGGCAGTCCAGGCCAAAAACTTGGGTCATCCAGTATGCCCTTCCGAAAAATCGGTCCACCATACAAGGTCGCCCCAAGTTACAAGCAAAGCCCCCCACAGAGGGCACCACAGTGTACGACATTAACCCCTCCAAGGAGCAAATATCGCACCTTCGACAAAAAAGTAAAGATGGAAAAAGAATTAAGATGTGTCTGACGCTCATCCGGACCTCCAGCAATCACAGAACTTTCCAAAGAAACATTCAACTTGCATGGTTCGACTAACTTACCATATGCAACTTTCAATTGACCACCTGTGTTATAAAGTCTAGAAGGAGCAAGAAGAAGCATACCTCTCTCAGTATCTCAGAAGGAAAACCAGTAGATTCAAATGATGAAAAGGGCGGTGGTACTTCACCTCCCTGACAAGAAATAAGGGAGAGAACAATTTGTCAAAAGGATGGTAATGTCCAAGCAAAATGAGAGTTACAAAAGCTAAATTGCCTGAATGAAAAAAAAATACTAAAATGGTTAATAAACCGTAATTACCACCTAGATACTCACAGTTACTGTTATCTCATGCTGATGACAATAAGCGTCACCAGACAAATTACTTTCTCCAGCTGCTGATCCCAGTCCTCTAGCAAATAATCCACCAATAAGAGTGTTGGAAGTCCCATTAGGTGTATGGGAATGAAATGGTCCACCCCTAGCATTCTATGCAAAATTAAGAACATTAAACCGATCCTAGGTAGGAAATGAACATACCATAAACTCCCACTTAAGATGCTTGAACCTTATGTAACTTTGATAGTCAAATATAATATATATTTACAAGAAAATGGACATGCTTTAATACTCACTTTGGTACTCAACAAGTTATAAAAATGTACTACTTTTTCATGTAAGACAAAAGAAAAAACATATCACAAATACCAGATTTATAGGACCAGAAGGGGAACAAATACCTGATCACTCCCTAATACTGACTCAAGTTTTGGTACAGCATCGGATACTTTTCCATACCGATCATGCTCCTTCTCAGAACTATACCTATAACGTCCTTCATAAGATTGTTGAACCAGCACTGAAGAACCCATAGGCACTGAAGAAGATTTTGGGCCAGAATCTATATTTGTAGGCCTTTCGTATTGTGTGACATTTGTAACTGGATTCCAAAAGTAGAGATAACCAGTTTTACCATCAACTAGGCCTTTCCATGGTTTGGGAAGAGTTGGGTCTGGCGGAGCATATTGTGGACCACCAGATGCAGTTGCAGTTGCAGCAGCAGCCATAACAAGAGAAGCAACCAACAAAAATCTGCAAGCTCCAAAAATTCCAAGGCAGAAATGAGAAAAGCAAGGAAAACTTCTTGGAGAACACAAAACCAAGAGTTCATTTGCTTTTTGTTCATTTGTAATCATTCATTAATTTGCTTTTCATTGCTTACTCTTTCCCTTATAGCTACAATTTATGGAGGAGAAAATAAGACATAAAAAATGAAAGGAAAAGCAGCAGTATGAAAAGGCATAAAGAAAAAATATATGCACTTAAATTTTAAGAAGCATAAGGAAGCCTTGAGAAAATAACTTCTGAACCAAATCAAAGAATAAAAATTAAGAACCAGGATACCTAATTGTTCAAAAAGCCTCTTCCAATAACCCGTAAACAGCTAAAAATTTGAATGCAAAATCTCAATATTTTCAAATATCGAAATTCAAATAGGTCCTCTAAAAGCATTCTGAGATCAATATATCGCAAAACTTCAAAAACAGTAAGAAGAATAGATTCCAACAACCAGACCGACATCCAATACGTTCCCAGATCCAGAACCAAGAAGAAATCCCCAGTTATTCTAATCATATATTTATCACTAAACAATCAAAAGATTCCAAAACGCCAGCTCTACCAAACCAATTAACAACATGCAAATTACCAGAATCTTAAAAAATTAATAACTTAAAATTAAGAACCCTAAAAACCCAAATTTTGAAGGGGATCGAAATCGAAATATAAAAATTCGATAACGAAATTCAGATCCAAGAAACTCAAGAGAAAACGTATGGAAATGGAAGCACCTGAAGGAGTCGTTTCGGGAGGACGAAGCGATAATCGCTTTTCTAGTTTGGGTTTTTTCTTTTAGAAAAAATAAAAATTTAATATTTTTTTCTTGGAATTCTTTGGTTCCCTTTTTATCTCTCTCACCCTTCTCCCTAATCGCAATGTTTTCCTTAAAAAGCAAATGAAAGGGGTAGAGAAAGAAAATGGGAAGACGAGAACTAGACGGAACCAATGCGTTTATTTATAGCATGAAGATAACAATTTTGTCGATACTAGTCCTCTCCACACCCTACGTGAAAAAATAAAGGGTAAACTACATGTAAGTTTTTGTATTTCTCACTAAATTTTTAAAAGTTATAAATTAGTCATTAATATTATTGATTTATAATAAAATGACCACCCCACCATCGTTCTTGATAAATTGATGACATGATAATATTAACAAAAAGGTTAATATTTAGTTTAAGATCTTAAAAAATGATTTTATATTTAATTTACAAAAAATTAATTTCATTTTTTTCTAAAGACCACCACCATCATAGTTCATGTTGTTTAGGGTGTAAATAAATAGAGTATTCGGTGAACTGTTCATATAACGTTTGTTTATATTTATTTATTAAGTTAAATAAATAAGTATGAAAAAATTATGTTCATTTAATAAACGAACAAACACAAACAGAAGTGTGTTCCGTTCATTTATATTCACGAACATGCTCGTTTATAAGCTCATTTGTGAGCTCGTTTATTGACTCATTCATTTATATTCATGAACAAGCTCGTATAGTCGGTTCTCCTTTTTCTTATTTTCTTTACATTTTAAATATTGGTAAAGGTATGGACTAAATAAATACATGGTAAAAGTTAAAATTTAAACTATGAATTTTAAGGAGTTTAAGCACGAGTGGCATAATTTTACCATTTTTAAACTTGAATATGAAATGGTAAAATTAAAATTGAACATATAAACGAACATTAAACGAACATGTTTGTGAACGCTAAACGAGCACGTTCATAAACATATAAATCAAAACGTTCACGAACATTATACGAACTTCTTCGTGAACCATAAATAAACGAACACGAACACAATATTAAAATTTAAACGAACACGAACCAAACCTGAACACATTCAAAAATAAACAAATTAACATGAGCATAATATCGTTCATTCAAGCTCTGTTTATTTACACCCATGTTGATTAGTTGGTCTCATCCTTGAAGAAGATAGTGGCTTTCCCTATTTACACCCATATTGATTAGTTGGTCTCATTCTTGAAGAAGATCGGGGCTTTCCCTTTTAAACTGATGTCACTCTTTGCATTTGTACACAGGTTAAGCCCAGTTATAGCCATTATCCTCTTCTACTTTTAGTCCAAGTCCACAGTCTTATACTTCTCAACAACCCTATCTAACTCTCTAGTTCAGGAGATGGATTCAAATAGCGGTCATATAATGGAATAGTAGTTAGAGGTGAAAAAACACTTGATTTGACTTAAAAAAATAATTTTTTTATTCAAATTGTAAAATTCTCAATACCGGGTTAGTGACCAAATTGTAAAATTTCAGAATTTGATGATAAAAATAGAATAATTTAATAGTTTAATGATTTATTTGGAAATATTTCCTAAAAGTTGTTAGTAATTATCAAAGAAATTAAAGGGCAAAATGGTCCTTTGACAATGAAATATATTTTTTCCTTGATAAATATGAATCACGTGGGGTGAGGGAGAGTTATATGTAAACTCTCTTCTTCTTCTTCCTTCTTCTTCCTTCTTCTTCCTCTCCTCTTTTATCTCCAAGCTCAAAGGTGAGTTTTCTATTTAGTTAATTTCTGGTTAAATTTAAGGTTGGGTTATGATCATTAGATGATAATTAAGCTTAAGGAAAGCTTAATTTGTTCTAAAACAACAAGATGAAAGGTATAGGAGAGATTAAAGATTTTGAGCTCTTGAATGAAATCTTGGAATAGAGTTCATAATTAGAAGTGAAAGTCAAATTTGACTTGTCATAAATGGAATTAAGAAGTATTAAGTGTTAGAATTGAATTTAGAACATGTTGAAAATTTGGTATGATTCTTAATTTTAAGAATTTGAATGAAGTATGAGAGATAATAAGGTGTGGTAATGATAGAGGTTAGTTAAAATGGTTGTAGTTGAGTTTGGTGATATGAAAGGAGTTTTGTATGAGGAAATTCAGTGAAGAGCTGATGAATTTTCGGATGAAAAAACATGTTTTAGGCAGAGTGTATCAGTACCCTATGTATGTGTACCGATACCCTCTTGAACGAAAAATTTCAGAATGTAATAAGGGTACCGATACCATAGGGAGGGTATCGATACCCCCTAAAAGAAAAATGGAATTTTGGTTCATTAAACTAGTTTAAGTTATTGGAATCGAGTGATAATGTTTAGGATTCTGATAATTGTATTGAAAATTATATTTATGTAGATACAAAGCCTAAACGAGTTCCGGAAAAATCAAAGAATTAGGATCGAATCAAAGCAAGGCTGAGGTGAGTGCATACTATAAGTATAGTACAATGGAATAAGACTTGTGATAAGTCTAATTCCTATGTTGATTTTCATAGTACAATAGTTATGAACATGCATACATGATAATTATTATGATACATGCATAAGATATATATATGTGTGTGTTTATATGATTTGATAAATGATATATGTGAATAGATTCAAATGCACATGTGATATAATACGTGATATGAAAATATGACATGAGATAAGCTATATGAGCTATGTGATCACAAGAGAAATGACATGAGTACATGAACATATGAAACATAAGAATAATGTCCATGGTATATGATATGAGAGCTATAGGTATAGTTGGTATGCCAAGAGTCGAGGGTTCTACGTGGTCCTTCGGGACATATATGTATCCTTTGGAACATTTACAGGGCCTTTTGAGACACATATTTGATCCATTGGAATATGTATATGGTTCTTAAAGAGTGGTCCTTCGGGACAAATACAAAACATAGGTCCTTCGGGACAAATACAGAGGTCCTTTGGGACAAAATTCATATGCCCCTAGTGGGACCCCATACGAGCTGTGGTGATAGCAATAGTGCACAACCTCAATGTACTCGAATACCCTGAGTTCTTAGTAATGTACATGGGCCTATGAAAAGTTATCACAGGTAAATGCATTATTACTGTTATATGATTATCGAAGGTAAATGCATTATTATTGTTTACATTGAATTACATATGACATGATTGAAGGGATAGATTGCATGTTCATATTCATAAGGAATGCATTATTATATTTATATGCCTCACTAAGTCTACGACTTAGCGTGCAAATGATTTACACGTAGGTACTGAAAAGCGAGAGGATCAAAGCTAAACAACATAACAACATATCTCCACTTGAAGCTCATATCAGAAGTAAATTACAAGTATGTATTGTTATGTAATAAATAGGTTAGCATGTAAACAAAGTCGGTAAATTAAGTATATATATGTTCTGATCGAATTTTGGATTGTTTTAAACGTATTTATGTAAATGGTAAATGTATAGTTATTAAAGTTTAAATTTTATAAGTTTTATATAAGTGGATCGAATTTATTGTAGCAAGGGTATCGGTACTTGTAGCAGGGGTATCGATACCCCTGCAGCAATCTAGAAAAATTTTAGAATTCGGTATTGTTCATGGTATTGTTCATTCTGTTCACAGTATTGTTCATATCGGATAGTACTATTCATAAAATGTATATTTTCTTAAATTGGTTATAACGAACATAATTCAATAATATATTATCATATTTTCTTAATATAAGTCCAAATGATATATATTTTGTTAAGAATATTGTTTTAAAAAGTCAATGTGATATATCGGACTCGTATCCGGGTCGGGTACGGGTTGGGGTGTTACAGTTAGAGGTGAAAAAAAATCAATTTGACTTAAAAATTATTTTTTATCAAATTGACTTTGAGTTTTAATTTCATAAACTCGACTCAACTCGAAAAAATTTCAAGTTCAAAGGTGTAAAATGCAACTCGAATAACTCGAATTTTTTAGTATTTGGTGGATTAATTTTAAAGTTTGAGTCAAGTCACTCGATTTTGTATGATATATGTATATCACATATCAAAATAATATGAATAAATATATATGTATTGTATATGATTATAAAAGCATTTAAATTAGAATCAAATAATATCATAATATTATAAATATTTACAATTAAATTTAAACAGAAACTCAAAAATTTGACTCAACTCAAATTTTATAAACTCAACTCTACTCAAATAAATTTCAAGTCAATTTCGAATTATAAAATAGGACTCATCAACTTGAATAACTAGAAATTTTTTGACTCAACTAGACTCAATCAAACGCTAACCCTAATAGCGGCCACTATATCACGATCGCGGCAACGACCAAAACTGCTATCACGAAAAGTAGCGGTGTGAAGCAAAGTCACATCAATAACGGTGGATCGCGGTCTCAATTTAATAGATAGCGGCTAATCGCGACAATAGTGGGCCACTATTCTGCTATTGTTATGCTATTTTAAGTTTTTTAAAAAAGAAATCAGTTTTTATTAAAAAATCAACTCTTTAAGAAAAAATTCACGATTGCAATATTTATAATAGCATCTGTTATATCTACAACCACGATAAACGAAATGCGACCGCAACCACAATTTAAATATCTGATCTACTGAAGTTAGATGTGATATTGTCACCAAGACCAATGGAATAGATACCACAGTAGAATATACATAAAAGATGACAATTTGAAAACATTGTGTCTGTTTGAAATTGCATTTTTTTTTGCTTTCAAGTTTATGGCAAACGTGGACCCTGTCTGTGATAACTCCCATTCTTAATCGTGCGTGCTGCCCAGTTAACCACAATTTCAGCTTTTGGGTTATTTTTTGGGCAAAACATGTGTTGTTGTTGTTGGTATTATTACTTCTTGCTATATGTACAGCTTTTTTGTCTTTTAAACAGGGAAAGCCACTATCTTCTTCAAAGATGAGACCAACTGAGCAACCTGAATAATGAGGTGGTAGTGAGAATTTGAAAAAAAAAATTGAAAATTAAATTTTGTAGGTTAAATTAGATATAAAATCATTGTTTAAGGATATATTTGATATTTTAGCAGTAGCTTAGGGGTAAAATAACTATTAACTTTTTGATTAATGTTGTCACGTCATCAATTTAACGGGATAACGATGGAG